TACTCTGACTCTACTGTGTCTCCGCTGTCACTCTTCTGACTCTACTCTGACTCTACTGTGTCTCCGCTTTCACTCTTCTGACTCTACTGTGTCTCTGCTGTTACACTTCTGGCTTTACTCTGACTCTACTGTGTCTCCGCTGTCACACTTCTGACTCTACTGTGTGGCTGCTGTCACTCTTCTGACTCTACTCTCACTCTACTGTGTCTCCGCTGTCACAGTTCTGACTCTAGCTCTACTATGTGGCTGCTGTCACTCTTCTTATTCTACTTTTTTTACTTAAAAAAGCTTAAATTCTAAGATTTAGTTTTTCAGCCTTTCTCTAAATGGTGACATCATCTGCTGCCACAGCTTAAATTGGGAGATTTTTGAACAGAGTTTGGTGGGACCTGCTCATGGTTGTGCTCCAGACTGCGTAGCTCCGCCCTCATGTTCTCCATCTGCTCCTCAAGCTCCGCCTTCGTCAGGTTCGCCTCATCAATCACTTTGTACAGCGAGCTAATCTCCTCCTCCACTGCCCGACGGAACGGCTGCTCGTTCTCGAACCTGCAGGGGGAGCCACAGTCACTATGCCTGCAGCTGATGGTCCTGGTTCCTGAGCAGAACTAGGACCACCAGCCGCAGGACAACATGGAGGAGAGACTCACAGTGCAGGAGGCTGGTTATTGATCACCAGATGCTCCATGTTGGGGTTGTTTTTTAGATAAAGTCTATGATCAGTGCTTAAAAATAATGAATAATGTGGTTGATGATTGTGTCTGCTGTACCCTCCAGCAGCCACACAAGGGCACCATGTGATCACCTGAGACCAAAAGAAACCATCACTTCACATTCACGCTGCTGTTTACTGACAGAAGGTCTGTCACTGATCACTGCCACATTTCAGCTCACTGCTGATCACAGTGTGAGTTTGACCTCTGACCTGTCCTTGAAATCCTCAGCGTTGGCCTGCACGTTCTCTGTCTGCAGCATCAGCCGGGCGTTGTCCAGGATGGCTTCACTGACCTGCACAGAGTGTGGGAAAACAGAGCTGAGAGTGGCTGCAGCCAGCGGGGGGCATCGTTATCTCCACGCGTTACCTTTAGTGTAACGCCCCCGCATCCTAACCTGATCTCAGGTGATCCAATAAAAACAGCGGCAAGACTCAAACACCGAATACTTAGTTTCTGTTCTCACACCTCAGAACATGTTTATCTGTGGAGGAATCAGCTGACATAACGTGGCTGCTCGTGCACGGCTGCTCGTGCACACTTTTTAGGTTCACTTTTTTGCCTCAGGTGACTTTTGTATTTTAGGATTTTTTAGGCGAGGCACGTGGACCGTACGCGTCACTGTCACCACGATCTAAGAAAGGAGAGGCCTGAGTTGACCTTTGACCTCAGAGAGCAGCATGCCGATAGGATGAAGGATGGTGTGGAGATGGAGCCAGGTGTTTAGACCCTCCCCCTCACCTGTCTGTAAACCTCCTCCCACTCCCTCCTGAGGGGTCCCCAAGCTCCGGCGCTCGAGGCCTTGCGGTCCAGGCAGAGGCGGATCTGCTCCTCCAGCTGTTGGTTCAGCTGTTCCAGCGCTCTCACTTTGTCGCGGTATTCCATCAAACAGCTGTTCAGTCCCGCTGCCGCTGCACCGCTCCCCGCTGCTCGCTCGCTGCCTCGGGGCAGCAGTGGTGTTGTGCTGCTCCTCATCCCCTGCAGGAACACGCTGCTGATGCCCAGAGCTCGCCGTGACACCCGCGTCCCCAGGCCAGAGGGAACACTCGCTGGTGGGGTGGAGCCTACAAAGACGCCGCGAGGGGCAGAGGTGCCTACCGAGCCCATTCTCCCGCAGGAGGCAGAGGGTGGACGCTCGGCGGCCGTCTGTCCAAGGAAGGATGAGCGGCGTCGGGGCAGAGGCATGACGATCAGCACCTGCCAGCACCTGCCAGTGTCAAACCGCTCAGACCCGCTCGCTACCGGGATTTATGCGAGGATGGCTGCTCTGGAAACATGGCTGCTTTTGTTCAGCCAGCGTTTGTGTTTGGAGCTTTTGTTGAAACAAAGAGTCTGAAAGAGCTGAGGCAGCAGAGCGAGCACGCGGGGGGGGGGGGGGGCAGGAAGGGTCCTGAAGCCTGTCTGGGTCACATGACACACACACACACACACACACACACACTGTTTATAAACAGAGAGCAGATGAGGGTTAGATCATCACTGCTGTTTCAGATCAATAAAGAATATCTGCTGTTAAACAGGTAAAGAACTCTTTAAATAAAGTTTAGTAGAAACAGCTGTGATGAATAAACTTCCTGTTTTGATAAACAGACTTGTTCTTCATGTTTCCTGGGAAAACCCTCAAAACATGACACACGAGCACAAAAATGAAGGCAACGCCATTATTCATGAAGGTAATAAAGTTTAATCTACATGTTTAAATAAAGTTTCAGCAGCATGGTTTCTTGTTTGAAGCCAGATGTTGTCGTGGTGTCGTTGGGTTCCTAAAGCTCCAGGGGTTTTAGTGGGCGGAGCTCGGGCTGAACTGAGGCAGACGCATTCAGGTCTGAAAGGCAGCGGCTGCTCCTGAACCTGCAGGTGTGCTTCAGCATTAAGGCCTTCACAGGTGTTCCAGTTACACCTGCATGCGTGCTAATCCCCACGCCCCGCACACTGCTCCTGATTGGTCAAACTGCAGCTTCCTCCCAGCCTCATTCCACCGTAAGCTCAGAGAAGGTGGAGGAGTTCATGCAGTGGTTCGGCCTCTCTGCTGTGCTCCTGTAGAGGACGCAGTCACTGCTTCTTCGTCGCTGTTTTGCCCTCACAGTCTCTCACAGAGACCTGAACCCTTCGCATCGTCTCGCTAGCTGGCAGATGTTGGCCCAGCCGTTTTTAGCTTCGTGTAATCTTTGAGTGTTTGTCGCCGGGCCGTTACCATGGCAGCAAACACAGAGCTGTTTGTCTGCGTGGAAACACCTGGGCCGTCTGTTCAGGTTTTGTCAGATTGTTTGTGCTGAATCTCAGCAGGAAGTGCTTTGCGGTTGGCAGGAAGTGGTGAATGCCAACGCAGCAGTTGAAAGTTTCCCAGCTGCTAAAAGATGCGTTGGACTTCTGAGGGTAAAAGCCCGTCTCATCCACCAGCTTCACCCTGTAAAGCAGACCCAGTCATCACTTTCAGCTTCCAAACACCTTTAATCTGAACTCTGGTTTCTGGTCTCCAGATTCCAACCATGAATCCCTTTAGAAACCTGCTGCAGCGCCGTCCTCCAAACCTTTCAAGACAAATGTCTGCTCCCATCCTTTAGATCCACCTCGGACAGAAAGCTGCGTTTGTGGATCACGGTGTCGTACCTGGGAATATCACCTGAAGCTGGAGGAACACGTGTTTGCAGTGTGAGTGAAGATTAAGCTGCTCTGGATAGATTTGAGGAAGCTTTTGGAGATCAAACTCAGCCTCGACCTCCTAACTGTGCTTGACTTATTACGACAGCAGGGAGCTGCAGGAACACCTGCAATGGTCAGGTGGGACACGCCTTAAACCACAGTAAGTCATCATCAATCAGAGATCCAGTTCATAGGATAGTAGTTTCCAGCGTCGGACTCTTTCTGGTCCAGGTTCTGAGCACGCTCAGATCTGCATCTATAAAAAGTCGGCGGTGGCGCCACTGAGCCAAGCACAGCAGAGCGTCGTCAGTCGTTAAAGGAAGCACCGCATGTAAGTGACGCTCGGGTGAACTGGTCCTCTCAGCTGTTTACAGCACCTGGCCGCTCAGAGCTCAGGTAACTGTGCCCCTCATGGCCCAGAGGTCATGTTTGCATGACCCAGATGTCACAAAGCACCTGACTCCTGGCCCACGTGAGGCACAGCTGCGACCGCAAGACGTCAGGCACACCCAACTGTGGCCCAGAGCTGCAGATGTGGGCCACATGTTGGCCAGATGTTCAGCAGGGGCAGTGCAGATGTATGTGCTCTGTGGTCACAGTGAGAACACACACACACTGACTGTGTTAGCGTGCACGTGTTGCGTGAGTGGGCAACGTGACTAATGAGTGATAAGAGGCGGCAGTTTCTTGGTTCAAAGCCCTCTGACCAGTGTGATGGGCGGGGCTTAGCACTTCCTCTGTGAGGGCGGCTGGCTGTTTTTCTTCTGGGATCAACACCTCAGCTCGCAGCAGGATCCTGGAACAGGCCTGACCTTTGCGTTTGAGCACTGTGGCGTGCCAGTCAGCGAGCTTTTCTGGTTTTCACTTCTCTGTCACATTTTGTTTTTGTCCCAGTGACCCATGAGAACATGACACCACACAGACATGAGGTCAGCTTCCTTTTTCTCAGCCTCCCATCACTGAGCCTCAGAGAGGATGTGATGTAATGATTTTGAGGTTAGAGAAAGAGACATGTCGCAATCCCTGCTGTAAAAACAAGAGTAAAATAAGACGATGGTGTCTCACAGATGTCTCGTCTGTTCTCTCAGACTCATTCATCTGCAGAGCCCTGAAACAGAATTGGTCCTAGCACTGAACCCTGTGGAACTCCATAATTAACCTCAGTGTGTGAAGAGGACTCTCCATTTACATGCACAAACTGGAGTCTATTAGATAGATATGATACAAACCACTGCAGCACAGTACCTGTAATACCTACAGCATGTTCTAATCGCTCTAATAGGATATTATGGTCGACAGTATCGAACGCTGCACTGAGGTCTAGCAGGACAAGCACAGAGATGAGTCCACTGTCAGAGGCCATAAGAAGATCATTTGTAACCTTCACTAAAGCTGTTTCTGTGCTGTGATGAGCTCTGAAACCTGACTGAAACTCTTCAAATAAACCTCTGCAGATGATCTGTTAGCTGTTTGACAACTACTCTTTCAAGGATGTTTGATATAAAGGAAGGTTGGAGATTGGCCTATAATTAGCTAAGACTGCTGGGTCTAGAGATGCTTTTTGAGTAAAGGTTTAACTACAGCTAGCTTGAAGGCCTGTGGTACATAGCCGATCATTAGAGATAGGTTGATCATATTTAAGATCGAAGCATTAATTAATGGCAGGACTTCTTTGAGCAGTTTTGTAGGAATGGGGTCTAAAAGACACGTTGATGGCTTGGAGGAAGTAATTATTGAAGTTAACTCAGAAAGATCAATTAGAGAAAAAGAGTCTAACTTAACATCAATGGTACTAAGAGTAGCTGTGTGTGTTGTACTTGTTCACTGCTCTCTCATCATAAACAGGATGAGAGAAGGAAGGATGTGAAGAAAAGAGTGCGACAGCGTTTCATCAACTTCCCCGTTTTTCTCTCACACTTTATTTTCATAACTCAGAAAACCAAAACATTTACATTGGTGTGACGCACACACACTCACACACTCACACAAACACACAAACAGGGTTATATACAGCATTAGTCACATTTCAGCTTTGGCTCAGTTTCTGTTCAAACGCAGCGAGGAGACCGGTCCCGTCTCTGATACAGCAGCTAAAACGTCACATTTAAAAACAGCTTCATGTTTACTGTACAAGCAAGCCCTGAAAAGTCCTGGAAACACCTGGAAAAGTCCTGGCTCAGAAAATGATGTGGAGGTTTTACATTCTCATTACAAAGGTTTCTTTTTGTTTTCCCCAAAACTGTAAAAGCTGTAACCAGCAGGCGCGCCCAGCCTCCACCTGTCCTGTGCTCTGAGGTGAAGGTGTTCTCAGGTGAGCGGGCTATGACTGTCTGTGGGTGGATGTTAGGGTGAAGCAGCACATGTGTTGAATCAAAGCTTCTTAAAAACTCTTCCTGCGATTTAGGCGTCTGCTGTACAGCTGCCCTGGCACAAACAGGAAGTTACGCGGTGACGGTTTCTACAGCGACAGCGCCTGCGAGGTTTCGCTGTCAGACATCACCGAGGCTCGGGTGGAGCTCAGCGGGCTCCTGCTGGACTTGGTGGACAGCTGAATCTTGGTGACGGGTGGCACGCAGCGGCAGCAGCGCAGCAGGTGCACCACGTCACGGCGGAACCGTGAGCCCACGAAGACGTAGAGGAAGGGGTTGAGGCAGGCGTGCATGTAGGCCAGACTCTTCAGCACCTGCCCCGCCTTATCAAAGGCATTCAGGTGATCGCAGTTCGTGATGGTGATGTTGGAGGCCTGCACCGCCTCCATCACCAGCACGCTGTTGTAAGGCAGCTGCGACACAACGAACGCCACCACCACCGCCAGGATGACACGCATGGCCTTGTGCTTCTGGAAGCCCTGGGTCTTGAGCAGCGTGGCGACGATGACGCTGTAACAGAAGGCCATGACGATGAAGGGCAGGCAGAAGCCCATGCTCACCTGCAGGGACAGTACCAGGATCTTGGTGTTGTTCCCCAGGTGGGTCGGGAACACCATACGGCAGTAGTCCTGCGATTCCACCTTTGCGGGGGCAGCAAATACCAGCTCGGGCGTGGCAAGGAGCAGTGCAAGCAGCCACACCCCCGCGCACACCAAACGGCTGCAGCGCAGGCGCTCCACCTGCGAGTTGTGCGCCTTTGTGGTCTGCACGATGGCGATGTAACGGTCCACGCTAATGCAGGTAAGCAGCAGCATGCTGCTAAACAGGTTCACCTTGTAGAGGGCGGAGTTTATTTTGCAGAGGGAGGTGCCGAAGATCCAGCTGTGCGACGCCTCGGCCGCCCACAGCGGCAGCGTGACCAGGAACAGCAGGTCGGCCACGGCCAGGTTCAGCAGGTACACGTCGGTCATCGTCTTCAGCCGGCGCCGGAAGTTCAGGTAGATCCACACCACGGCCAGGTTCCCGGCTCCGCCCACCAGGGCGATCATCCAGAAGAGCGGTGGCTCATAGTGACTCCTGAACACCCGCACCGACTCCCGGTCGCACAGCAAGTCTCCGTAGTCGTCTGAGTAGTCATAGTTGTCAGAGGTGGCCGAGGGAGTGAAAGCAGACGGCTCCTGATGGACAGAGACAGCACACCTGAGCACACCTGAGCACTCTGCTGATACATACTTGGATAAATCAATAAATAATCAGGGTTCGTTACCTCTGTGATCATTGTTGTGATGATGTCATCCATGGAGGTCACATTCATGGTGAAAAGGTCATCCAT